TTTATTATAAAATTACAATTTTATAATTGTAGCTCTCAGAAAAATAATCTTAAAAAAATAGTATCTAATTAAGTTTTTTTTTGTAACATTAAAAGTTAGTTGTTTAGTATTATGAAGATGAGTTCATGTAAAAAATAATAAAATAAAAACAAAATGTTATAGTTACAATATTATGTATTATTGTAAAAAATAATATTGTAAACTCATAATATGATTTATTATTATAAAATTAACTATTTTTATTAAAAAATTTATTTATAATATTATATATATTCATTCGCTTAATACCATGCTATGTTTTATTGTCAAGTAAGATTATAAACTTACAAGTTATGATCCTATGTAATTTATAATTTTAAGTAAAATTTTACATAATATTATAATTATAGTATCATTGAAAAAAATAATTCCCATATATATAATAATTACAAAGCCTATGCACAAGTTGGGCTAGTCCAATTTGCTATCATAAGAACCAAAATTACCCCCAAAAAATGTCACAAATGATTTAAGATTTAAGACCTCTTAGTCCTTTTTTGAAAGGTTAAAACATACTTAATCTATTAAAATATTTAAGTTTCAAGTTACAATCTTGAGACAGATAAAGAAAAATTTAAGAAAAAAGAAAAGTTATGCATAACCCATCATTATTAAATGCATCAAAGAAAAAAAAATCTATTAAAGTATTTAGGGTACTCCTACCCACAAAGAAGTTACAAGTCCAACAATTCACATCAATCACAAAGACAAACCACCATATATATCCGTCAGCAGCGGGTTAACCTACTGCCTCCTTAAAGCAGGCCTCAAAGCACCTTTACTGGATTGCTACACCAATCAGTAAAGGACAAGTTCTTCACTCCCAGCAACCCATTAACCCAGTAAAAACGACCGTGCCTGTACCAACCCAAACAACTATCTTCCTCAATCATACTCCTCTGAAACACCCTTTCATTTTTGCCTAGCAATAAAGTCCACAGAACAAAACATACTTAGAAATCTTAACTTCAAACATTGAAATGGGTGGAAAGAAATTAAAAGAAGAGGAAGTTATTTTTGTTGTACAATCAATAATTTAATATATCAAAAAAAAAAAAAAAAAAAGGAGACCCAAAATAATTATTTGAGACAAAAATAAAAATAAAATCATGCATTAACAAATAAACATTTTAAATGAAGTTGTTATGATTTCTACTAAAGTGTCATCTTTCCATTCATTAACAGCCAGCAAATAAATCTAATTACTCCACCTAAGACCATTCTAGATTTAACTATGCTATTTATGACGTTGATATCATATAATTATTATGCATAAAGCTTCCAGTTCCCTGGGGCAGGTGTGAAAGGGATACCACCAGTATCTTCTTGAATTGGTTCATTTGGCCCAAAGCACATTGGGGTAAAAGTCTGTATGGCCCATATGATATGACCCATTGAGATGAAAGCCATTCATCACCCATTTGTGAATTTGTGTGGTGTAACAAGGGCATACGTGTGGCATTACAGCATTACTTTTGCCCGCCATCCGACTTTGCAGAAGGAAATCCTTTTCAACTGTTCCCAGCATATGATTTATAATTTTATATTCAAAAATTTTATCAGTTAAATCTTTAATTTGATCTTTTAATTATTGTGTAAAATTTTGATTTGATCTTTATTATTTATTAATTTGATCTTAAATTAATCTTTATATATAAAAAAAAAACAAATTATATGTTTCATTATTAATGTAATACGTGATAGTTAAGTAATAATTTTTTATTATTAAGAAATAAGTTTTTTAATATATTTTTTCATACATTCTTATATGTTTATAAATAATTATTATTTTTTACTTTATTAAAACTTATGATATTATATGTATTTATTTATTATTAATATATATATTATATTTAAAAAATTATACAAAAATTATCCACATATCATTAGCTAGTAGATTAATCAAAATAATTAGTTAAACTTGTACACTATATAGGAGTAACATAATTAGCCACGTAATTTAAAATTTAAAGACCAAATTTCTTTGAAAAAATCAAAAAAAAAAAAAAGGGGTTGGGAACAAGAACAGAAAAGGAAAATTACTACACTACATAAGACAACAGTGGCACTCAGCCACTTGTGTAGTTGCGTGATACCCACGAGGCCACGACAGATTGGAGAAGCACGCAACGAAGAGGCCCAAAAACACATTACCGACCCTGCCATTCCCAAGCCCATCAACCACGCGGGACAGAGAGTTCTCTCTGTTTGGTTTTCTCCTCCTCCTCCTCCTCCTCCTCTTCATCCTTCCCAGGCCGCTAGGTCTTTCCGTCCAAACGCCGTCGATGAGCTTCCGCACGACGAAACAGGCATCCGGATTCTGATATCGAGAGGAATCATCGATGATAAAATGCTCTCGAGAACGACCTCTTCTTCTCCCTCGATAGCCCCTTCAAGTCCTGTTTTTTACCTCCGTCTATCGCCATGTCCAGGTCAATATCTACACCCCTTCAAATTATTGATGATTTTTTTTGTTTTTCCTTGTTTCTATCGATTCATTGGCTCGTTCCAACCTTTTTGGAATTCCTTCTGGAAAATCCAGGGGACTATTTGTATTAAAAACGGGATCTTGTTTTAATTTGTTGATTCTGTAATAGATGCTAGGGTTTAAGTGCATAAGGGCCTCTGATTTTCTAAGTGAGTCAATTGATATGGATAAAGACACCCTGTAATGTTTATTAGCTTGAATTTTAATGCACCCTGTATTCCTACCTTTGGAATTGAACCAACCAATTAATGAAAGTGATATTTCATTTATTTTATAGAGTTATAATGCGTTAAATTGACGTTCGGGCTCTGTGTTTGTACCTCTCTATCAAAGAGGTTAGCTTTGTGTTGTATTGGTGTTGGGTTTTGGTTGTTACTTGCTAGATTGTGTTTACTTACATGGTTATATATACATGCAGACTTTTGATGTTTGCAAGTATTAGGAGAGGGGCACAGTCTCTTGTGAAAAGCCAGCAAACAGGCCATTCAGAATTAAGGAATTATGGAACAGCTATCACTGTTGGACTTCGGTCGCCCCAATATAGAGCATACTCTCATTATGGATTTCACCATGGAGGAAATTCTTCATCTTTATTGCATGATGCCAAGGAAGGGTTGTCCCATAGTTCTTTCACGAGCAGTGCAGTGATTCATCACACATGTGTTGCTTGGAAAAGGTTTACTCGCCACTGTTCTGCCAGTGGACGAAGTTTTCCTCACATAAGCAGGATTGCCCAAGCAGTGAGCTTGGGATTGTCCCGCTCACACCTTGTAGTTCCTGGGATTTTGGCCTTGACATGTGGAGAAATGGCATTGGCACAGAAAACAGAAGCAGAAACAGTCCGTTTCCCATCACAGAATTCTTTATACATCCGTGCGCAAGATGGACATGCATATGTAATCTCTTTACTATTTTCAGCAGTAGAAGGTCTTATCTTGATGATGAGGGCTCTCTATCTTGCAGTATTATTCTCTCCTGGCATAGTGATGGCACCCTTTGCCGACCGTTGTGGACCTCAGTTTAGGAACATGTGGCTTCAGGTTGTTCACCGTACGCTGGAAATGGCAGGTCCAGCATTCATAAAATGGGGTCAATGGGCAGCAACACGGCCTGATCTCTTTCCGAGGGATCTGTGCACCAAACTTTCAGAGCTCCATAGTAAAGCTCCTGAACATAACTTTGCCTACACAAAGAAAACTATTGAAAGAGCATTTGGCCGCAGGCTTTCTGAAATTTTTGATAGTTTTGAAGAGGCACCTCTTGCATCTGGAAGTATTGCTCAAGTACATCGGGCTTCTTTGAGATTCCGTTATCCTGGTAAACAGCAGCTGAAGCCCATGGTAGTTGCTGTAAAGGTTAGACATCCAGGTGTTGGTGAGTCCATTAGGAGAGACTTTGTGATAATCAACACCGTAGCAAAGATATCAAACTTCATTCCAACTTTGAAGTGGTTGAGATTGGATGAGAGTGTCCAGCAATTTGCAGTTTTTATGATGTCTCAAGTTGATCTTGCCAGGGAAGCTGCCCATTTGAGCCGTTTCATTTATAATTTCCGTAGATGGAAGGATGTTTCTTTTCCTAAGCCTGTGTATCCACTTGTGCATCCTGCTGTTTTAGTGGAAACTTATGAACAGGGGGAAAGCATTGCCCACTATGTTGATGCACTTGAAGGACATAATCGGATTAAGACTGCTCTGGCTCACATTGGGACCCATGCACTTTTGAAGATGCTTCTGGTAAGTGCGTTATTTTATTTTCGTTTAGTTGGCACTATTTCTTTATTTCAACATGCTGTGAATTTTTAATTTTTGCTTTTATTGCAGTATTTTTTTCAATCCTTGACTGTGTGAGAGTCATATGGTTATACCTTTCAATTAAGTGGTTTTCTATTTACTAACCCTGTACTCTGAGAATTATTTGCCGAGTTTCATGTTAAATAATGATTACCATAGCAAGTAGTAACTAGGCCTTAGCTGATTGTTGATTATAGAATAGTTACTTGTGAAACAGAAAGACCTTCGTCTGTTAGAGATTAGCCTTCACCTTGTTAGTAAACTAAATATATGACGAACGTTTTCTTTGTCTTTACATTGAACAACGGAACTACTTAATGTCGTTTAGACTGGTGGGACTGTTGTTTGTCATGATGCATCAATTTTTCCAGCTAGAGCTTTTTGAGTTAACTTGATTGGATGATGGATATTATTGTATCTTCAATTGGAGCTCCTTGAGAACACACTGAAAACCTGTCCAACCATGTTGAAGTTTGAGTAGCATGAATTTTTCATTTGGTTAACATTATCTCTTTCCAAAAACATAGTCTGGTTGAATTTGGTATTGTAACCTGCCTGTGGCAGAGCTATAAAGATATTCCTCCACTTCTGATTAGAGTAAGAAAACTCTAAGAATTAGGCCCCACATGATAACATGGTATTGTAGCATTTAGCATGTGATTAGTGATGCTTGTTGCTTCTTTACCATTGTTTTGTCAATTTGCATTGTAAATTGTGATCCTCTTAGTGCAAGATATTATAACTTGTTCATTTCAGGTGGACAACTTTATCCATGCTGACATGCATCCTGGAAATATCCTTGTCCGGGTGACTCAAAGCAAGTCTTCTCAAAAGGGGCTCTTCAAATCAAAGCCTCATGTCATTTTCCTTGATGTAGGCATGACTGCTGAGCTTTCTAAAAGCGATCGTGTAAATTTACTGGAATTTTTTAAGGCCGTTGCCCGTCGAGATGGCCGCACTGCTGCAGAATGCACACTAAGACTATCACAGCGGCAAAACTGCCCAAATCCAAAGGCTTTTATTGAGGTATTTATCCATGCAGAAAATCCTTATTGACAAGAATTATGATTAAGAAAGGATATCATAGGTCTAGTTTGGTTTGGTGGAGGTAATAGATGGATCACATTTTTAGTCTTCAAATGAATTTTGATAGAAGCCTTGAAAAAGTTGTCATGTGGCAGTTCATTTGATTGGCTGTTTTTCAAACAATGAGATCCAGTCATTGAAAGTGAGGCAAGTCATTTACTGCCAGATTGGTTTGGGAGAAATTTTTGTGAAAAAGTGCTGTATAGCATTACTGAATTCAAAGTCCTTTTATCAGTAGTTGTTGGTTCAATCGGCGTCTTTGTTCCCTCTCCACAGTTTGTCTGCTAAGATGTAAATAGCAATTACCAACTTATTTCATCTTATTAGAACTAAATTGATGTGAATAAGGAATAGGGATTCTATGTCCTTACAATTTAGGTTATTTTTATAGTTTGACCTAGGAATGGCCATTCCTTCAACCAAACAAGATCAGGGTGTTTTACTGAAGACCTTTTCTGCATTGTTCTCTGATGTCTTATTTTAACAGGAAGTAGAAGAAGCATTTACTTTCTGGGGAACTCCAGAGGGTGATCTAATCCATCCTGCTGAATGTATGCAAGATTTGCTTGAGAAAGTCAGACACCATAAAGTCAATATTGATGGCAATATATGCACTGTACTGGTCACAACTTTGGTTCTTGAGGTAACTTTCTCAGTTTTTGCATATTTTCTTTTGATTGTTAATTCATCTGTTAGCACAAGTATGACAATCTGATTATAAGCTGGAGCATAAAATGTAAAAATACTTAAAAAGTGATCCGGATGTTTATCTCTTGCATGAAGGAAATTTGTGGTCAGCATTGCCATGGTACTTCCAGGAATGAGTTCACTGCTGAAATGATTATATGGCAAATTGGTATCATCATGGCCATGGACTAATTTATTTGCCCCATGTTTGTTGCTTGTAGGGTTGGCAAAGGAAGCTCGATCCAGGATACAATGTGATGCACACATTACAGACACTGCTACTTAAAGCTGACTGGGCAAAATCTCTTGCCTATACAATTGAGGGGCTCATGGCTCCTTGATGCATCCGGAGTATGTTTTGCTGAATGGCATCTGCCAAACAACCAGAGTCTCTAGGATCATATGTTGCCGGTCCTGAAAAACAATTTTGACAGCTACAAATCCTAGGAGACTAGGATACACTAATCCTAAATAATAACGTGAACATTTCATTTTTTTTTTTGCCTCGAAATTTTGAGCAACGTGAAGTTTCCATTCACCAATCTGTAATTATGTTGTTATTTACCACAATTCATTACTGTAATATCTAGATCTCAAATTTCACATTTCACAGGCAAAGGCAATGAAAAAGAAGGGACAAACAAGAAATAAACTCTTTGGCCAAGGAAAGATATGTATTGTGTAAGAGTTTTTCTCTCTGGCCAAGGAAAGATACATATTGTTTGGGGTTTTTTTTTAATGTGACTTGGATATGGTAAATGTATTTTTTTTTCATTAATTTACATTAAAAAATAAAAGTTTATCTTAATTTTATTAATTATTCAATTCCACATGTCATTAGTGTTAAGAATAATTTTAGTTTTTGTTTTTTTGTTTTTTTTTATAGAAATTAATGTTAAAAATGTACATTAAATAAGAAAAAAAAAAGTAATAATTAAGCTATCATGATATTTAAAATAATAATTTTAAAAAAATTATTTAAGTACTCTTAATAAATTTTTTTATATGTTAATTTATTAAATTTATTTAAATTATTTTCTAAGAAAATCTTAACATTGTAATTGTTTGAGCGTTTTAATTTTTCATGATCCTCAAAACAAGTTAGAAAAACCCATTAATTAAAGCTATGTTTCTTTTAATTTTCAGAACTTGTATCTTATAAACTAATAATGGGCTACAAAGAAATGGTTACTGGCAAAAGCAAGTAACTTCATTAACTGCATAAACTGGCTGCTGTTATATTGCAGAGAAGGAGAAAATACAATGCTTAGTAACTCGTGTTCCTGAATTCTTGTTTGTATGCATCAATATTACAGATGACATTTACAGATTCAGTCGAAAAAAATGGCAGTAGTTCCTGACTGCAATTGGCAATGAATAGAATGAATGCACGGTTGCATAAAAAATCCTGCAACTTAATGGGAATATTACTCTTGCATGTCGTCACAAATCAGTTCACAGCTTCTTCTAGCTATGATCAGCACTGTTCCTGTATCATGAAATCAGTTATTGACTGAATAAAAACACCCCTTTGCTAGCTAATGTCCTTTTGTTTATAGGTAGATATAATTAACTTTGGAAGAAAAGAACTAAAGAGTGACGATTCATGGCTTTTCCCTTGAAAAAAGTAATCAACTCACAAGCTACACCACAACAAGTTCATGGACATCAGAGAAATGAAACTTACTTTGCAAATGTAAGCTCACGGATTTCTTTGATTGCACTACTTATACTATAGAGAGCCATCTTATTCACCTGTTTTAGTGGCAAAAACGAAAGCAATTTAATATGTTCATCAGGTTTGTACTAGAAACATGTAGGTCACGTTCGGTTGGAGAAATGGCTTTTTTTTTGTCTTTGCCCTTACATGCTTTCAATATATTCATTAAGAAAGAGAGGAAAAAAAAAAAAAACAAAGAGAGAGAGAGAGAGAGAGAAATTAGGAATGGTTATTCCTTCCTTTCACCAATTTTCATCTAACAAGATGAAATAAGGTAGGAATAGCAAATAAACCTCCTCCTAGTTGAAAACTGCTCAAAGCAAGGAATAGAATGGCCATTCCTATAATGACCATGACATGCTCTTTCTCTAATCTACCTTAATTCTATGGTTTGACCAACAAATAGGCATTTCATCCAACCAATAGAATATAGAAAATGGATATGTAACATTAACATAAAGTTACCTCAAACTTATCAGATCTGGCTTTATGGTCCTCTGGGAGCAGACGGAGTTCATCAATCAACTGGATACACTCACTAGTATTCTCAGGTGAAACAAAGTCCAAAACCACATTAACGCAGGACTACAAGCCGTACCATAGAAAAAATAAAATTAGGAAGCAATGTTGTAAACAAAGATTGAGCTTTCACTTTAAAAAAGAATAGTGAATATTTCACAATCAATCCATCTAAAAATGCTTAGACAAGTTTTAGCAGAAATTTACGAGTTGTAAACAGATGACCAAATGGAAGAACTAGAGAGAACAATTATTAAAATTATTAAAACTTTTAGACATGAAACCATGGATAAGACTATGCAAACCTGTGAGTTTCTGATGTAGAAATTACCTTAACATTCCTAATCTGGTACGGACAGCCTGCTGGAATAATAACAGCTTCTCCGACATGTTGCTCAAAAGACCAGGGCTCTATTTCTAGAAGCAAATGCATGTTTGGAAAATTTTAGTAAGGTTATTGTCAAATGTAACCAAGAGTTAAGATGTTAGTGAACTTGCCATACTCCTCCTTAAGCCTTGCTTTATGACTTTTACCCAGAAAGAAATTCTGATCAAGAATTGGATGAACCACCTGCAGCAGGGCAGAGTAAAATTAGCAACAAGCCCATTCTGCTAGCATGTTACATCATGCTTGTCCATGAACTTACATGCTTACGGAAGCCATGCATCTGATTTAACTCATTAGAGTGCTTTCTGATGTACTCCATAAGTTTTGGCACATCCTGCCTACGGAAGACATCCCATTGAGCACCACAAGACTTGGCCAAATTTTCCTTTCTATAACACTTGAGACTTTCTGTACCACAGGACATTGCTGGGGCTTCAGAGCTAGAATTACAATCAGAATCAGAATCAGTGTCAGAACCATCTTCCTTATCAGGGTACATATCTCTATTTTTGAAACTCAAATCACGTGCTTCATGGTTGGCCACAGCAAATTGGGATGCTTTTGGGGCTATCTCATGGCCATGCACTTCTTTTCCAATCATATCATTCAATCCTACATCTTCCTTGTTTTCTCCCTGTGATGATGATTTTTGTGTAACATTATCAGCCATCTTTTGATCATGAGTACACCTGGTAGTGTGTTCTTGATCTTCAGACTGTTTCTTTTTCATCAACTTTCTTATCCTATTAAGCTGCTTCATGGATACAGGCAATTCAGTAGCATGTACCAAGATGTTAACCTGAAACAAAAATAAATAAATAAATAAAATGAATGGACAAGTTTACTTGTGTCTTCAAATTGCTTTTGTTATGAATGAAAGTCAAACGCAGGTATTAGGGTGTTTCAAAGGACATAGATCCCACTTGTCAGACTATGAAGAATTGATTCTTAAACACTGCATGCCAGATAATTTCATATTGGGGACCTTGACAGAAAAAAAAAATTTACAAGAGATTATGTTCCAGGTAAGATTGAAGTTAGGAAGCACAAAACCTTCAGAAGTCCATCTTCCAATAGGACATGTGCTTTCAACTATATATTTGTTTTATTAGAATATTTGTGTCAAATGAGCACAATACACAATATTGTTCACCATACAGGCATTCACATTGAAATGAATATAAATAACACTACCACTCCAAAGTTTAACAAGGAAATAAACATACCACATCATGCAAATTGTAACATAGTTTTGTTACTGAATCAGGCAGACCAAGTTCCTCGCCACTTTGATAGGAGATTGAGAGACATGGACCAAAGTCATGCTTTGGGATTTCTTGTGGCAAATTTGCAGCAATGTTTAAAAGACCGCAGTTAGGATCCATGTAATCTGGGAGTGGTAAAGCATGAATGATTTCAGCATAGTGAGTTGGAAATTGTTCTTGGAATAAATGAGAAGAAAGCCAGCCCTTCAGCTTCAGCTTCTCATCACATGTATTAGCATGTGTCTGCCCCCTAAAAGAGCCCAGAAACAACTGCTTAATACCAATTTCTACCTGAAATATCAAATAAAATCTTAATTATTAAAACTGAACTTCAGATTCAGATGGCAATAACGTGAGGGACAAAAAATGCCCAAGCCCCCTCCCTTCTCCCTAAAGAAAGAAAATCAACAATTACATTGTACAGAGAATTATATCTATAAAAGGGAAAGAAAACAGTTGCTTCAGGAGCAAAAGATGATATTCAAGTGGCATAATGTATCAAATATAACTTCAAATTTCTATGAGATGAAACAAGAGGATTGCAATTTCAACCAAGGAAATATCCAAACAGAAACACCCACATGTCAGGCCAAAAACAAACAGTCTCATAACCCACAGTCAGACCAATTCTATTTTCCTACTATTCCATGAAAAACTGAACAAGCATTTCAACTTGGCATGAGATGTCATTTGAACACTAACCTCAAACCAGTCCAAGCAGCTGGTTGCTTTAGCTACTTCCTCATCATTCTTAGGTTTGGCAACATTGTTTTTAAGATATGAGCAAAACAAGAATAATGGATCCCAACTCAGGTCTGATGTATTCTGAAGCACATTACGAACAATGACAGGATGGCCTCTACTCCAGTGTTTCTGGAAGTGATCAAGATTATCACCTTGATTGTCCAAAACAGTGGGGTAATACAAGAAGTTGTCATTTGAATCTTCTCTCCTAGCTGCTTCCTGCAACTGCTTGAATCTGTTAGCTTCATGATCCATCCCAACACATAACGAGCAGAATGAGAAACTCTCAAATGCTTCTGGCGGCTCATAGCTGCCAACTATTTCTTCTGCACTTATTTCCAGCTCTTTAATCCACCTTAACGGAAAAAGACATCTCAGACCAAGAAGGCCATTGCCACAACCACCAACATTTGAAGGTGGACAGGATATACAAAAACCAGCATCAGGAGCTTTCCAACTAGGTAACAATGCAGAAGATCCAAAGAATGCACCATAGTAATTTTGCTTATAGGTGCTTATAGATATTCTATCTGAAAGGCGGAATCCAGGTGTACAAGCTTTCCTTCTATTCTGGCATTTACAGAGAAGTGCTTTCATACTTCCAGCTAAGCTCCCTTGAAAAAATTCCCGACAACAACTTAAACAGAGATTATATGAACATTTTGGACAGCTTCTATGGAAATCAACAATAGAAGTCTTGCAGTTGCTACTGCTCCAGAAGTAATACACCACCAACAAGACACAAAAAGTTACTACAGATGTTATATTGATGATCTAATGCATCACAATTTTTAAGCAACAGAAAGCATACCAACAATAATGGTTATAGCCACCCAATTCAGCGAGTTGGATCTGAACATCAGAGGGTTTTGTGCCTGTGACAGAAATTAAGACATATTAGACCTCTTCCATGAGTGAGATAACAATCATGTTATGCCAGAGAATACTAACAGAGTGATTAAATAGACAATTTTATAAGTACCTTTCATTTTTGCCTCTATTTCAAGCTCAATGCTTTGTTCTTGGTTTATTTGTTTCAGAAGAGGAAGAAGCTTGCACATTAAGTAATGAAGATTTAATACCCTGCATACTCTGTTTTTGTCTCTCAAGAAGACCTGAAACAAAGTTTTTTATTTTTATTTTTTATTATTATTTTTTTCCATAAGTTAATGGAAAAGAACTCAGCATGGAAAAAAGCAAGCAGCTAATAATATTGGATCTCACCACACCTTACATTCACTGTCACTGTGTTGACTCACTGAGCAGGCTTTACAGCCACAAGTTCCACGGCAAACTGGACATGCCCGTTTAACCTCCTCTTGGGTTAAAAAATACCTATATTCAGTTTAACATCAAGAATTAACCTACACCTCTTTTTAGGAGGCTACACAAGCAGATAATGAACTAGATGAAAAGGTTCTGTAATGGCTCAAATATTTCAATTAACCATGTTCAAACCGATTAAATATAGCCTTATGTTGTTAACCCACATTCTGAAATTTGTGTCGATTACAACGTCAGGTATCATTTTTGTTTCCTTTATTTTTTTTCTTCCCTCTTTTCCCAGTCTTTTCATACTTGATTTGAACTGCATATGCTAGTCATGTCACAGTGACAATTTTGCTTTTCAATAATGGACTATCTAGCCAGCATATCTCAGAATTTAAAATTGAAAACTCACATCAAATGCCTGAAATATATTTCAGAACAAAGAAAACCAAACAAATGATCACTTACCGCTCTTTCACACAATCCACGCAGAAGAACTGCTGGCCACAATTTGAACACTCGATCAAACTCAGAGCACTTCCCTTCCTACACCGATGGCACCTCTTTCTCCTCCTCCTTGAACTCATCAAATTCCTCTTATATGGCACAACCTATAGGGGAAAAAATTTTAACTGGATGAACTATAAGAACCAGTGCATAATAAAATGTTCAAATAATCCGCCACTGCAGAGAAAATTATACTAAAGAGAGCACCTTTAACGTGCCAATGGGCAATGGCTCGATATTCTTGGACCTGAACTGTCTCCTGGTGACTGTAGCTGTATCAGCTTCAGCTTCTCCTATCTTGACATTGACACAAAGACCAGAACTTGAAGCAGAACCAGGACAAGAACCTACATTGTTGAAATGTGGACTAGAGGAGATTGCCATTAGTCCATTGGGCAATTGTTTCATCAACTCTCCCTCTGAATCACTACTATTCGTCTCTTCAAAGTCTATCTCTTTCTTCTTTCTCTTTTCTATTTCTCTATTCAACACCATTCTTATCAGTTCTAACTGAGGATCCCCTTTCTTCAGCTTCATCTTCCTCACCGCCTCATCAAGAGCTTCAGATTCTCCGATCACTTGCTTCCGCTTCATGGGCTTCCCCAATTTCACGAATTTGGGAACCCCCTCCACATTTTTAGCCCTAATTTTACGATTCTTCTCAAGAGCCAAATCCGCACTACCCAGAACCATTTTTTTCCTTCTTTTCCTTCTCTGCAGTTTCAACGAGTCCGGAACTCCCTCCTTGCGCTGTCGGCGGCGGGCTTGTATATAATGCACCTCACAGAGCTTTTTCCCCTCCATCACTAACCGATTGCACCGCCAATCCCTCCCATCCGTTCGGTTGCACCGCAGATGTTCCGGTGCAAGACCATCCTCTTCCTCCATTCTACCGTTTGGCTCTTTCCCAGGAAAATTCTAATTTTTCCCAGAAACTTATTTCCAAAGGCTGTGAGAAGAAGAAAAATAGAGGGTTTTAGTTTGGTGGTTTTTGGTTTGAGGGTTTTAGGGTTCGTATTTATTGGGAGTGGAAAGTAAAGTGACAGATATATATAGTAATTATGAGAGAAAGCCAAAGAGTCAAAATCAAAATCTGTATTTGAATCTTTAGATACACGATTTTAGGCTCCTATTTTTCGTTGTGAGATTAGATTGTGTGTATTGACGCGATTTGTGAAACCATACAAGAATTTTGGGGAGAATGCATTTGACCAAGGTGCAAAAGACAGCTTTTTCATTGCAAAGATTAATACAAATTCAAGAATCAGATAAATTGAAAGGAATTCAGCACATCAGAAAATTGCTGCATTTTGATCAGTGAAATATCCAAGATGGAAACTTTGAACTAGTAAGTGTGATATTGTCAACTGCAACATGAATTGGACTGTATCTTGGGATGTCCTAATTCAATGTGAGTATTGTACCTTGTAAGTTTCTGCTGGATTTTATGATTTGCTGGCTCTTTAATATCAGAAAAGAGTTTTATTTTATGATCACATGAAAATTTTGGATTTATGAAGTGCTTAGTTTCTTTCATTTTCTATAGAAATCATGATTTAATGTCAAAATAATGATACCTTGGAACTTATCTTTGTCTATGTTTTTATAAACAAAATACTGAATTGAATTTGCATGAGTTGAGGAGGGGTCAGGGTTTCATTTTTTGATCGGCAAAGAAAGTTAATGCTTAGCATTGTGGGTTTGTGATACTTGAATTTGATCCTAAATTCAATGTTTTGAAATTAGTAGATACTAATTGGACTAAGTTATTATTGATACTAACTAAAATTATTGGTAGCGTAAAATTATCATTAGACTGGTGCAACTGGCATAAAAGGACAGACAAAGCAGTATAACTCATTGATGTTAATTCTTAAATGTCTGTTTGTTTTGCTTTGACTGAGGAAAATGAAATCAAGTACAGGGAAAATAGTGCTTCTGCTTATATGCTAATGCTTGCATCCTTTTTGTGAAAGAACCTTGATTTTGCATTTTTTTTCTTTGCCACCAAACCTTGATTTGTCTTGGAATTGAGAAAATAGATGGAAACTATGCAAATGAAAACATAGAAATATAGAAATACCTTTCGCATTTCTTCAAGACGTTGTCTTAGAAGGAGGGTGAAACATGATTTGAGTGCAGGGTCGATGAAACTTTTCCACACCATAATATATTGCCAAAAAGATTTGAATCCAACCAGCATAAGATGTGGCATTGGAATTCATCAACGCTGCACTCAATGATGTTTCTTCCATCTACCTAGCTACAGGGTCTCCCCTAGATATGCAACTCAGCTATTGCATTGGATCCATACAAATTAGTATATAACTTACATGAATATTTCTATTATAGAACATTTCAATGGAATTTTAGTGCAAGGATTTGTATTCTGTCTGTACTGCCATAGGGCTATGTTACTTTGAAAAAGATTGATGCTTTGTACTGCTGCTCTTATCTTAACGTGGCCGTGATATTAATTAAATAAAGGGTTCTGCTGAATATTGAAGTTTCTTGCGTCTAGAGGCTTGAATCTGTATTTGTTTCTTGTACTAGCATATTGTACTGCATTAACTCAACCTTTAACATCCAACTTTCTTATTGTTTTCATCCAATCTACCCAAAATTTGACCCTTTTTTTTCCTGCAATATAGTTTCAAATTTCGTGTTGCAACTTGCGACTTGCATCTTGCAACTTGCAACTTATAGGTTGGGACCACTTTGATGGTAGGTCCTTTGACAGAACTTAAGGTGACTTTTATATATTGGGGTCCTTGATTGTATACAAAGAGTGTAAGATGCCTACATTAAGAATCTTACATGAAATAATAAAGAAAGAATAAAAGAAAAGAAATACAAATGCACAAAGGAAACAAAAAAAAATCTGATTTTCTTTTAAGAAGAATGATTTTATCATCCTCTGCATCTTCACTCGTAATTTGCAGAACTTCATTAGGAGGAATATGCCTCCAGAGTTTAAGCTTCTCCAATTTGAGCCAATTTATTTGCACAAAATGATTGGTAAGTTCCTGTATGACCATTTTTATGTGACTAACATCCCTTTGTGCCTCTGCACATTTGTCTTGCCTCTTTTCCACAGTGATATCAACCAATGTCTTGGCATCTCCTTGAAGACATACATCAGTCCAACCATTTTTGACTTCTGCAATCATTGTTCTTCCAGTGGATTCAGCATGGCCATGTAAGAATTCAGCCACAGACCTTTAATACCAGCTTTTCCTAATCTACCTATCAGGATCCATAAAGGCTTAGTTTAGTCCACTGCAGCTCCTCCCATGCAACTGGAATAGCTTCCTTGTGCAAATTCCTATGAAAGAATCTAACTGTGCCTTGTATTAGCCTTTGGCGTTTGGTAATTTCTAACATC